TTAAATGATAATATAAAATGTAGCCACTTAAAATGTGAGATCCAGAGTGGCATCAATAAACAAGTCAGAAAAAGGGAAAACCTCTTCCCCTCACTAAGATTTTTATGCCACAAAACCTGAATTTAGCAGTCAGTCCAATGTAATTAGAGACATCTTTTAAAAGTTGTAAAGATAAACTGACGGGGACGTGGTATGTATGAAATGACAACTGGGAATGATTTTTTCATATACTGCATGATTTGAACCTATTCTAAACATTTCCATTGGTGTATCTCTCTCAGTTGTGAGGGGCAGGGCCTGAGGACATTGCTTATGTGCAACAGTATAGGTCCACAGTATGTTGGCTTTAGGCTTGGATCATTGTGTTTTCCCAGCAAAACAAATGTATTTCCCCACCTTGCAGTGAAATATTAAAGCATTTCTGTGGAAATGACAGGAGCGTCTTTCCAGACAGGGCTGCTCTGAAACAGCTAGTCATATCCTATTCACAGATCAAATACCAAGGACTGTGTGTGCTCCTTAAAAGCTCTGTAAAATAATCCGAAATATCTCAATTTGACTAGTTGTCATAAATTGTAAACTCAGTGAGTTATTTCTGCTTTAGTGAACGAGCAGTTTATGCCCTCTGGCTGATCATTATGCTTACCTAATTCCTTCTTGAACACATTTCAGTTTGTGTCTCTGAGTTGCACACTCTGATGTATTAGTTTATTAGTGGAAAGGCTAACCTTAAATGACTAGGGCTATAATCCTCAACTGTTCAATAGGATTTAAGCAAACTGTGCAGTGGGATGTATTTGTAAGCAACCCTTTCTGTACATACAGTTGAAATGAGATGGGTTGCATTCCATCTCATAATTCTGTACAAAAACAACAAAATTTCAAGGACGGTGAGAACATTGACACAAGCATGATCACCAGAAGAATCTGCCTTGATTAAACTCCTTTACAAAGCAAGCTCCTGACTGTATCATCTTGATATTTTCTATTAAGATTTGTCTTGAGCACTGTGCCAAGCATTTTTGCACTTGCACTACACTGTACCACTTATACTATGGAGTCAGGTTGTGCCTTTGTACTAATAAGTAACAAATAAATTGCAGCTCCTGGCCATAACTGCATTTGCACAGTTTGCAAACGAAATCTTTCATTTACCAGAGAATAGGCACATATTTTCTCAGGTCATAGCTGGGTCATTAAAGTGATTACTCATCAAGCACAGAGTCACAATTTGACCCATTTTTGCTCCTGCACAATCACATGCATTCTCTAAGTAAACCTGCAAGGAATGCATTGTTAACGTTTTTGCTCTTGTGCAGTCAGTGGCTCTATTGTGAGATGATCACATGAACTGATTACAAGATTAGATAGGTTCATTGAGTCCTGTCCTCCCCCCCCTTAACTATATGCCTTTTAACAATTGAAGGTAGTAGGAGATTAGTGGTGGTCAGGCAGCAGCTGTGAGAAAGTTCAAACTGTGCAAATGGACACATCCACATTTGGACACATCCAAACACCTTGGCAAATAATTGGCTCTCTGATCACAATCAGGAAGTTATCAAGAACAGTAACATCACAAAAGTTTTATTGCTTTCACAGACATCAGTATCTGAAGTTCTCATTTATTGCATATTTTAAAAAAAATATTCAGCAGACCAACAACAACATCTGCATCACCACAGTGGAAACCCATTATTACATGCCCCACCACATCATGAATATCAGATTTCTTACTATCACTTCCCCCCCGATAGAGGCTATTTTTACAAGAACATATAAAGAAATAAATAGTTGTTAATGGTCATTGACAGCAAAGTAAACATTCATTCACATGTTGGATACTGAATTTTTCTTCTAACCTTCTAAAAGTGTGGCACACTTTTAAAGCCATCCTCAAGGCTCCATCTTCAATATGCAAGTCACAGAATCAGAGGGAGCCAGTCTGTGGTGTATGGGTGCAAAGGACAAATCCTAGACACACATTCAAGTCCTTGCTTAAGTTGGAAATCGTTGGCCTATTTCATTCAGCAGTTCTCAACGGAAACTTCTTTATATGTTCTTGTATGTATGGCTCTATTACTTACTACAAAATTTTATCACATGAACACGAAACATGGCTATTTTCCTGGAGATAGTTGGGTTCTCATCTATTAAAAGTTTCTCCAGGCAGGCCTTCTCCACAAAAACTGTTGGTCAATGTAAGAGGGGAGGAATAATCTTGTCCCATAGGCAGGGGTCATTTCATAGAAAAAGAGCTGCAGGAGCTCATTAGAATAACTTATTAGCATATGCCACACCCCCTGACATCACTGGAAGTGTGCACCAGCCCCTCTGACAGGCAGAAGCACCTGGGATCCATTCTTTCCCCCCTCTCCCTTCCCTTCACCTCCAAGTCGGGCGAAGGAAAAGGGGAGGGGGAGGATCTCAG